GCCAGGCTGGGGCTTGTATCTTACCCCTTTCATCAGGCGCTGGGCTCTCGCACGTATGGATGTAGTCTGGCTGTTGTCCTGTGTCTTCTGGTCTCTCTTTAAGGATTAGTTGTATTTGTTGTATTTTCAAAAATATATATGTTTTTGGGAGGAGATTCCCACTGTCCTACTCATGCTGCTATGTTGGCTCTGCCTAAATACTAGTATTTTAAAATGCATTCTACATGTTCAAATACCTTCTCACCTTGTGAGAAAGCCTGTTGCTAGTGTTTGACAAGCAGTCTTCAAGACAAATTTAAAAACTAGCGGCTGATGGTCAAACAGAAGATGGCATTACTGAGAACTGTGACTATAAAATAAGTGTACAAATGCTAAAGCTACAAACTTGGACTAAGTCATGAAAAAGGACAGAGATCATGATGTATGTAAAGATCTACCATCAATGAGCACTCAATAGTTTTCAACCTGATGCATTACCACTTCAGTACAGGCCTTACAACCTCAGGCAACGGGTCAGGGTTGAATTTGTACAGTTGTATAAATCAATCAGCAGCAGGAAACCACTGAGCCTGACTTACATGAGTAATAGTCTCTGCAGTGGATTTACCAATAGGACCCTAAACCCTCTGACATGGACTCAGGCCCTAAACCGTCTGTTTTCTCAATTGTAAAATTAGCGATTTAGGCTAGATATTCTTAGACTTTTTGGTCTCAGTCTCCCTTGGCATTCTTAAAAATTACAGGAGATCCCAAAGTGCTTTTGTTCATGTGGGTTAAATCTAAAAATAGAAATTTATTGCTTTAGAAATTAAAGCTGAGACATCTTAAAATATATTTTATTAATCCATTTTAAATAATCGTGTCATTTGTTAAGCAACATATTATATAAAAAATACTAAATATAATGAGAGTTGTGGCATTGTTTTACATTATTGAAAATCTCTTTAATATCTTAATAAAAGGCAGTTGGATTCTTATAAATATTGCATTGTGTGTTGAAGTTTATTTGAATACATGAAAAAAATCCAGCCTTGTGGTTATGTACTTGAAAAATGGTGTAATATTTTGCAGTTTTTTTTCTGATGATTGGGGACACTCTTCTTGGGTGCAACTCAACAACTGATAGTTTCTAAAATGTTTACTACAATATGGAATCTGAAACCACATCAATAAACCTTTCATACTGTTATATTAAAATGCTTTATCTATGGGTTCTTTTTGATCTATGCAGAGTTCTGCAATACCATACAGTAATTGTTTGGAAAAAAATTATGGTTCACTGACTTATGCAGATCTTCTAAATATTGACACATTACATTATGTAATAGCCACAATTTACACCAGTTAATATCATCACTGACCTAACCAGAAACGTTTTAAATGTTGGGAAGCCATCAAGTTCATGAGTGGAGAATGTAAGATTTTACACAATTTTTGCTTAAACATGCAAATTTTATCACTGACAAGAAGTCTATTGTCAGTTGTTTACCCTGAAGTGATTGGCTCACTTGGTTCATTCTGGAGAAAACACCCACTGTGTATCCATCAGAGTAATCTCAATTTGTCTGTCACTTGTACTTTTAAATAAAAATGGTGTTCAGCTTGGTGCTCAGTCACACAGTGAAGGAATAGAGACCATCACGATGTTTTGTTACACAGCGGAATTACTTTTTGTGTATTTCCCAATTCACTCCATAGAGTGTTAAGAAGAATGTATTCAAGGATGGAGATTTAATAAAATCAAATACTGTTTAACTGCTTCAACAAAGACAATCTTAAGCAAATCTGTGTTGTGTTTGCTCTATCCCGTGTGTGTGGGTGTGAGGAGTACCTCAAGCACTGGCATAGCTTGGTGTCCGGGCCTTGATTTGTGCCAGGGCAACAACAGTTTTACACCATTGCCTTTTTAACATCAATGCCAGTGTCAACACGGTGAAAAAAGTGAAAATGGCATCTTCATATCATGAAACATTTCATCTCACGGACTGCCTGAATGCAGCTCTAGGACCCTCATAGGCCCATGAATCACATTTTGGGCACTGATGGCCAGCCTGAAATAATAACTCAATGCCATTTACAATTCCAAAATTTAGTTTTCTTTACTTTTCCCCAATGATTCTCATAATTGAGTTTTACTAGCTTGGCGACATTAGCCCAGGTTCAGTATCTAGCCAATGTATATTCATAAATATTTTAGTACCATGCAAAAACATTCATATCTTCATTGACATTTACCTTTGTCTGATTAGAAGTATTTCTAAGTAGAGCAGGTCTTGAGCCTATTGCAAATTCATATTATTTAAATTTTATTACAGTTATAAATGGTGAGGGATGATGCAGAATAGCAACAGTCCCTAAGGTAGCAGCTAATAACTTGTGAACAACTTGTTTATTAGAACATTATTCTTTCTTAAATTTGCTAAGGTTGTAAAGTTTCAGCAATAACTAATTATTCAGGGAATGAAGCTAATAACCTTTGGGTGTTTATAAGAATATATATTCCACATTATAAATCCTTTCCTCCATAATTAGGCTAATTACAACGACACCAGAGTCACTGACACTCAAATTGGATACCTGTCTTAGCTCATTTACTAGTCAGTGCTCTGGGGTACAAAAACAAATGGATAATACTCAGTTGTTCTGAAAACATGTCATTAATATTTTATAACAATTGTTGTCTAAGGACATTACAGCATGAAAATGCATAAGTAACTGAGACAGACAGAATAAAAATGTGCTATGGATTAAGACGAAGTTTCACATCCTTCACCACTGATGAACTAAATGAGAAAAGATGGAGAGAGAATGTATATTCTGAGAATATGGTTAGGAGCTTGAATCAGGAATCCCAGTGCATCTTTGTTGCTACTGGACAAAAGCATCAAATTATTAACCATTTCTCACAATGATCACCAAGAACCTTGCTTTTAATTTAGTACTGCACACTCAAACCAAAAGAATCTACTGAAGATTTATTATTTCACGCTCTCAAGCAGAATTTCTACAACTGGTCTGGTATACATTGTGTAGGCTAATGGATTTCAGCTTGGTTTAAGGAGAACCTTAAATCTGTACATCTATAGATCAGGTAAACGGAATTCCTGAACCTGTGGGAATGTTGAGACAGCAGCTTAACCATTTGTCACGGACAGCATAGAAGGGATTGTGACCTCGGTGTTGAACCGACATGCAGGGCTGCCCTGAGTGGGTGATGTGAAAGTACTGCATCATGCAATTTAAGGTGGGCTTCAGAAAATGGTTTTAAAACATTACATTATACAGAGAGTTACTTCATTGTTGAGTACGTCTGAAGAAAAGTTTCAGTTTCAGTGTTGGTACCTCTCTAACATTTAGTCAAAATTCGTAGGTCAAGACTAATTCATTAGAACTTAGATGATGTGCAAAGATTATTTCCAGTGCTAAAACTAACACAGCGAATGCCTCTTGTATTATAACTCTCCAAATTATATATGTGGAAGAGGAGATAGGGATAATACTTGAACTATGTGGATAAAATAACTAAATAAGTGCTGAAGGTTCTTTTATATCCCATGTAAGTACAGCAGGAGAAATCCCTAAGCATTGCATTACATAGTTGATACACTATTACATAAATTGTGTTTGTAGTTGTATTACTTTTTCAACTTTTAATTAGTATAAATTACTGAAGCTCAAGTACAATGGTTAAAAATCTGCAACCATTTTTATCAACGTATGCTCAGGTATATTTCCATAAAACCACTGACTAACGTCTTGATATTAATTTGTATAGAATGCTCTAGATTTTCAGAGTTGGTATCATCTTATACTTTTAGTTGTATATTATAAAAATGGCATTTTAATATTTTAATTCATTGTTTGCATTCTTAAATATATAATCATTTTGAAGAAGAATTTATTCAATTTCTCTTTGTCATAACTGATTGAATAGCAGTAATTTCTGAATCATAATTCTCTCTAAAATAAAAGCATATAAAAGTAAAGCTGCTGAGCTAATGCTAATGTTGCAGGCAAAATACCACCTGATCTACAGGCTATGTTTCTTGTTATATACCACGTTTGCATAAGGGGCAAAAGAACTGCAAAATAATTTTAGCAAGCAGCCAAATACGAACCATCCAAAAACTGAATAAGGCAGAGGTGAAGTCAGCTGAAAGACTGCTGAAAATACATAGAAATATGTTGACAAAATCACGTCTTCAGTCTACAAGTATTCTACATAAAAATCAAAATGCAAATATGAAATTCCATGAAACAAGTATTGAATACTCTCACTTTACCTGAAAGTGGTATTTCCGTCGCTGTGGAGAATTTTAACAGGAAGAAAATTAGAGATATGATTAATCCTCTTCCACTTAACAGCATCTCCATTGCTCTTCAGGAAGGAGGCAACTCAGAAAAACATGAAAATCTTAATGTCACCTCTTCCTTATGGGTTATAGCTGAGGAGAACGTGATTAACCTGGAAACTCAAAAAAAAACAAGCAGAATAACTTAAAATTTAAGTTCATATCCTCTTAAATGTCAACATGACAGAATTTAAATATATTTTTCTGTTGGCAATAACTTCCTCTTTATGAAACTGTTTCTAATAACTCCACATGATCAGAATTAGTTTTCCCTCTTTGATTCCAAAGGACACTTGAAAGATGCTCTATTGCAAACTCTACACCATCCCAGTGAATTCTGTTTTTCAACCAGAGGAATTTTTACTTGAAGGCACTCTAATATACTCTAATAAGTGCCAGTGGATATGAGAATACCTTCAGTTAATTCATTTCAATCAAAAGTGAGCTCCTTTTCAATCAATTCTTCTATCAGGTATCTAACTCCATTTCAGTCATTTATTAACATCACAAATTTTATCTCTGATTTCTCTGGCAAGGTAACTTTTCATATTCAAAGGTATCACACTAATAGGAAGTAAATAACAAGATATAGGGGAACAGAAAAGTGAAGGACGAATGGATAAGGAACAGCCACTTGAACTGAAATTTACAAATTTGGGTTTTGTGCCAGCTGAAGACAATGGCATCATTGCTTTCCACATAAGCAGAAAGTTTATTCACTTCAAATTTTATTGAAATGGAATAATGATGAAGTGTCAATGTTCCTTTACTTTCTCTTATGATTTTAATTTTTTTCTGAAAACAGCATGATCATATACATCTAAACATTTTTTATCATGTATTTGTGAAAGTGAATTTGCTTCAAAATGTGATAACTAATTTTTCAGGTACATAATTTTCCTTTTCCATAAAAATCAATTATTCTATTCACTTACAGATGGTGAAAAAGTTAATGAATATAGAATTAGACAAGCCATTAGATTTACATTTAATTCTAAGTATTTGGGCTTTCTTTATGTCCCTTCAAGTTGCAGCTGAAGAGACTATGAACCAGCATATTTTTCATATATGTACATAAGTAGGTCGAATTTAAAGTAGTAACTAATGCTGCTTTGCTGTTTTATAATTTTGAGAATTTGAAGAGACAACAATCTCACTTATAGTTTAATTTGATGCTATACTGACAATGAAGGAAAATGCAGCACCTAACCAAAAAAAAAAANAAAAAAAAAAAAAAAGAGTTGTGAATCTTTGTTCTTGAATTAGAGTACTTTATTTTGTCTGACCCTAACTGACCCATCTGTAAAATGGAAAGTGGGGGGAAATTATCCTTGGGTCGTTTAGAATATTTTCTAAAATGACAACTTACTTCGGCAATTACAAATATTTTCAAGTGTGTCATTATGTTAATTGGTACTCACTTTACTGATGAAATGAATTATTTCAATCAACAAAATAAGTGTGGAGAAAATTGCTTTCATTATAAAAAGCAGAACATTGCCTAATTCCAAAAACTGAGTTCTACATATTTGCACAAAGTTGGGAGATACTGAACCACGTAGCTATTTTTTAAGATGAAAATCAAAAGAAAATATTAATGCCTTATTCTTTGAATTTTACTTTTCCTTCTCTCTTGAAAATACTTTGATAATAGTAACCTAAGGTTATTTTTTATATATACTCTTCACCTGCAATCTAACACTTAATATTCTGTTCCATTAATATTCAGTGTTGATTTAAGGTCATTTTATGGATTTGCTTTGTGAACTGTCCTCTATCTGTAAGGAGAAAGGCTTTCAAAACCAGGATTTCATTAGGAGACCAATTTTTAATACATTGTGAAGTAGAGAATAAAGATACTGGGTAGGCAAGTGACTGAATACTGGCTCAATTTTCATTAATCTCCTGATTTAAGCTAGTGAGTACAACGGTCTCTAATTGCCATAGTGAAATAGCTCATAGATATTAATTGTTCTGTAGTAATGATCTGACTTTAGGAATCTTACTAGTTTTAAATTAACTAAATGGTCTTGATCCAAGAAATTGTCTCCCATAAAAGGATGCCACATTGAACTGCTGGCTTAAAATAAGACTATAAATTTAGAGACATAACAAACATTGATGGCACCATAAGTTTCCAGAATATAGATAATGGTTAATTCTACATCTGACCTTTTCTCCTGTAGGGATTAGCTTCAATTTACCTGAGACTTATATGTTAAGAGATCATTACATAAAAGTCACTGGAAGTTAAAATGTGACCCCCTGCAAGCAAGACTCCATTAGCTGATGAGGACAGCCCCCAAATAGCTTTCATACTGAAAAGAGAATGTCAGTCATAATTTCCTTGTTAGAATTCATAAAGGGCATAGTGTTCAGTAATTATGTTTTGCAACAGTAAGATAGCAATAAAATTATATTCCCATCTATCTTTCTTCAAAGACTGTGAAGAGACCACAGAGATAAAATCACGCCAGACCTCAGAGATAAAAGCCATTATTGGAGCTCAGGATGGAGATGACACTAAGATAAAAACAAAATATGCTAAAACATTTTTGAGGTCCAGTCACATAAAGCTGATGTCTGATTGCTTGTCAATGCCATTAACTCACATCCAAAAAAGAATCAACAAATCTTCATGAATTTGGACTAATTGGTATAAATCTTTCTCCTAGCATAGCTTACCTTAGAAAGAAGAAAATCATCCTTTATATCTGACTCAAAAAAAAAATAGATGTCTTAGTATCAGATTCAACTGACCATTCCTGACTGTCTCAGCAACTCCAGTATGAGTAGTGTGATAAGGATGAAGAACACACTGGTTTCGTCACAGAACAGAACCAGGGACAGGTGTGTGTAACCACACAGGACTACTTCCAATACAGCAAGGAAACAAAGCTCTTTGTTTCTCCAAAATAATAGCCTTAAACATACATCAATATTACCAAGTGACCTCAAGGATCCTGCTGATGTCCTTAAAATAGCTCCATTGTGGTAAATCTAGAAACAAGGAACTCCCTTAACTTAAATCCATCTTCAGTTGACAGTTGGCTTAGTGTCTCTCCCTAGCCCGGCAAGTAAGTGTTAAGGATACTGTGGCCTGCTGACCGGCTACCAGGAGAGAGTGATGTAAGACTTGCTCCTGATGAGGTAATGCGTGCTTAGCACAGAATAGCAAATGAAATTTGCTGCTAGTAGCCACAGGGTTGGTAATTTTGTTGTTAGTGGTAATCAGGATGTAGCCTCTACTAATAATATTCTGATCCAAAGAGTATGGTTAGCTTACATAGCTTCTATTACAGTGAATCACACTGACTTTAAAAAATATTCCCTAAAATATTTAGCAGTGAAATGATGTTGACTGAGTTAAATACCTAAAAAAAAAAAAAGGCAAGGTAGGGGAGTATGGTAGGTTGATGGCAGAAAGTCTTCCATTCTTTTCTCCTCTTTGTATCTACTTGCTCTGCAGGATGACTTTACAGGTCCTTCCACCGAGAAGGTATTTCCTCCCTTACCCAATCTGGCTGGCCTCTGGTCAACAGAATGAGCTGTGAACTTAGGCCTCAAGAAGAATTTTAGTTTTTCTCTCTCCCTACAGTGAGCTAGCCTGCTGGAAGGTGAGACATTGCCCCATTACCCTCTGTGATCCTGGCCAGCAGGCAGCAGCCCCCAAAGCTGACAGGGAGCCAGCCCCAGAAGACCTGCCAGCTGCACACAGAGGCACGAGCCAGCTGGGTCAGCATCAGTCCAGACTGGGTAAGAGCAACAGAATCTTCAGGGGGATTTCAGGACATGCCACCCCCAAATACAGCATCTTGACATACTGGCTATTTCAAGATGAAGAATTCTGAGAGACAGCAGGTATGGGAAGGACTCTTCGACCTCTCCGGCCGCAGGGAATAAGCCCTCATGTGAGAGGAAAAAGAGCATCCAATCTCCAAAGACGGAGGGGCACAGAGGGCTCTGAAAGAGTCAGCACTGCCAAATTTCCTGCAGTCTGCTTCCCCTCCCATTCACCTTTTCCATGACTTTCCACTCTTTGAAACACTTGGCAAAAAAACCATTCAGGCTAAACCACTTCTTCAAGTCTTCATTCCCTTATGAAGACTCCATGCCACATAAAACCTACATTAAATCAATTTGTATACTTTTCTCTTGTTAGCTTGAGAACCTTGGTAGGGTAGAAGGAAAAGGGTATTTTTCCTCCTCTGCGCCCTTGAAGAAACAGTAGACTCGGGAACAACAGCAAATGCTTCTTGTATTAAACCAATCTGTTTTAGCATAGTTTGCAATGCAGAAATAGCTAATTGATATAGAGCAGAAAGAATTAAAGAAGATGCAGAAAGAATTAAAAATTGATGCAGCGTTGATAACTGTTGAAGCTGTGCAATAGATGTATCTGTATGGAGGTTCTTTGCACAAATCTTTCTATTTTGGGGTATAGTTTAACATTTCCATAATAAAGACATTTATAACATCTATTCAGTCTGTGGAAATGAGAAATTAGCCTAAAGCATTCCAACAGCCGTAAGGAATTCCTTCAGCCAAAATGTGGAAAAGGCCAACTGGCACACATTTAAAACAAAAACAAAAAATAGACAAAAAGACCTCATTAAGGCTGCCATGGTATCCAGAACCCTTGTGTTTGAACTAGATTCAGAAAATTTGAGGTCCCTTTGAAAATAAGTGTATGTGTTCTATACACCCAGCACAACAGTATATAACATAAGGCAGTTTGTGTCTTATTGCTTTGTATGTTTGGAATGCCATGGTCCCACTAAAGACAATATAAGCTCAATTTATAGTAATTATTTAAATCTGGGTAGCTCTTAGTATATCCTCCAGATGTCTTTCAATATTTCTTTCATGCTTTGATTTTTTACTCACTGATTTTGCATTATGTTTCTATTGGGGTCTGCTTTAAATTCCATTCACAAAGTCAAAAACAGGGTTTTTTTTTATATATGGGTTAAGAGCACCATGTCTCTTTAGACTATTACTTGTATGTTAGAAATATGTGTTCTAAACTGAACAGAAATGCACCGTATTTTAAAATTAGTTAAAAGGTCTTCAAATATTGTTAGCATATTCTGAGTACTAACCATGACCTAATAAGCACT